CAACAAAAGGTCACAGGTATCGAGGGTTTAGGGTTTACGAGGGTTTAGGGTTTACGAGGGTTTAGGGTTTTAGAGGGTTTAGGGTTTACGAGGGTTTTGGGTTTTAGAGGGTTTAGGGTTTTAGAGGGTTTAGGGTTTAGGGAGAAGGGAGAGTGGGACTGCTTTCCCTGCTGCTGCTGCTGCTGCTGCTGCTGCTGCTGCTTTTGCTCTCGCTGCTCTCACAGTTTCTGCTGCTCTTCCTGTTGCTGCTGCTGCTGCTGCTGCTGCTGCTGCTGCTGCTGTTTGAATTGCTTAAATTTTTCCCTGCATGTGCTGCTGTGTTTGCTGCTGCTCTTCCTCCTCATCCTCCTCCTTCTCCTGCTGCTTTTGCTGCTGCTGCTGCTGCTGCTGCTGCTGCTGCTGCTGCTGCTGCTGCTGCTGCTGCTGCAGGTGGAGCTGCAGGTGCTGGAGTCTACGCCGTTGCTGGAGGCGTTCGGAAACGCAAAAACAAAAAAAAATAATAATTCTTCTCGTTTCGGGAAATTTATAGAAATGCAGTTTAATTTAATTTATAAAAAAAAAGAAAAAAATAAAAAAATAAAAAACTTTTTTAATACGCAAAATAATATTAACGATACACACGCTTACTCTTATCCTACACGAGCTAAGTCAGTATATAATATATATATTTTTTTATTTTATTTTTTTTTGTTTTGTTTTGGTTTGTTTTGTTTTGTTTTGTTTTGTTTTGTTTTGTTTTATTTTGTTTTGTTTTGTTTTGTTTCTTTTTGTTTTTGTTTTTGTTTTGTTTATTTTTTTTTTTGTTTTGCTTTTGTTTTTGTATATTTTTGTGTTTGGTTTTGTTCGTTTTTTGTTTTTGTTTTTGTTTTTATTTATTTTTTAATTTTTTTTTTTGTTTTTTTGTTTTTGTTACTATCTGTTGTTTTTATTTTGGTTTTGTTTGTTTCTTTGTTTTTATTTTTATTTCTTTTTTTTTTTGTTTTTTTCTCTTTTTGGTGCTCGATTACTTTTTTTATTTTTTTGTTTATTTATGTGTGTATTTATTTATTTTCTTCTTTCTTTTTTATTTGTTTATTTATTTTTATTTATTTTTATTTATTTATGTTTATTTATTTTCATTTATTTTTATTTTTATTTATTTTTATTTATTTTTATTTATTTTTATTTATTTTTATTT